AAGGGCATTACCTTGAATTCAAAATGTCCATGATGAGTGCGAAAGGCAGTTTTGTAGATGTCTGTAGGCTGAATTCGAATCTGCCAGTAGCCAGACCTTAAGTCTAACTTAGAAAAATAGGCTGCTCCATGTAATTCATCCAATAAGTCCTCCACCACTGGTATTGGAAATTTATTTTTTACTGTTTGAGAGTTTAGTTGTCGATAATCGACGCAAAATCTCCAAGAACCATCTTTTTTTCTTCACAAGTAAGCAAGGTGAGGCAAAAGGACTCTTGCTTGCTTGAATAACAGAGGCTACTAGCATCTCAGAAATTTGTCTTTCCACCTCTGTTTTTTGCTGATGTGGAAATCTGTAGGGCCGCAAATTGACCGGGGCTGCACCCGGTTTAAGTGTAATTGCATGGTCATGTACTCGTGCAGGAGGTAATCCTTTAGGTTCCTCAAAAACTCCTACAAACTCGGCTAATAATGGTTGTAGCTCATAAGGTACCTACTGCTCATCAGTTTCCATAGTTAGGAAATAGAATTCTCCCAATAAAACTGGATCCTTGGCAGTAATCTTGTGCATTTTGTCATTTGAAACTGTTTTCATAAGGAATGGTGCTTGATGTCCTTGAATAGATAATTGTTGTCCCTCCTTCTCAAAAGTAATAGTCATGGCATTAAAATCCATCAGGATCGGACTATACTTGCGCATCCAATCAACCCCAAGAACCATATCGCTGCCGCCTAGATTAAGTACCCAAAAATCATGAAAAAACTGATGGTCTTGCATGATCCAACATAATTGATTACTCTTAGCTGAACTGAATAATTTCTCACCATTAGCAACTGTAATGGCTAGTGGTTTAGTTGAAACTAACTCAGTACCAGCTTTAGCCCACTTAGGAGTGATAAAGCTGTGTGTGCTACCACTGTCAATAAGAATATTGAGAGGTTTGCCCTTGATCAAGCCTTGAATTCTAATTGTAGTATACCCAATGCTTCATGTGAGAGCATTGACTGAAATTTCCAGATTCTCTTCTTTATCACTTGACTCTCCCAAAACTTCTTCTGTTATAACTGCTTCTTCCTGGTTATCCAATTCCTCCATAGCATTCAACTGTCGTAACTTGCATTGGTGGCCTGGTTGAAATCGTTCACCACATTTGTAACACAAATTATTCAATCTGCGATACTCCAGCAAATTGTTCTTGTTAGAAGGATTTGGTAGAACCTTCTGTGTTGTTGGACTAGCAGCAGGTTTGTTAAAAGTTGTTTGGGTGGGATAGGGTAGGAATCTTGCATTCTGTTTCTGTCTTTTACTTTCAAACTCTATTGAAATCTCATATAACTTCGCCTGCCTACAAGCTTCAGTTTCCTCTTTAGGGTTGAGAGCTTTGACCCTATGTTTCAACTCCTCCTTCAGTCCACTTATGAAAATGGACACAAAAAATTCCTCCCCCAAGGTTGGATTCTGCATTAAAATGAAAGGTTTAAGCTCTTCAAACCTCACTTGGTATTCTTCCACTGTTCCTTTCTGAATTAGCTTACTAAATTCTTCTATGACATCTGTATACTGCATATCACTAAATCGATGACATAAGTCTGCTTCAAACTCATGCCAATGTACTCGATTTTTTTGCATGATATAACCATCGAACCAGGATTCAGCTTTTCCCTCTAAATACATTGCAGCTAACTCAACTCTTTGCTCTTCAGGAATTCCAAAGAGATGAAAGAACTTATGACATTTTTGCACCCAACCTCTTGGATTAGTTCCATCAAAATATTTTAGCTCTACTTTAGGCCTAGGAAGTATAAATCCAGTGTTTCCTACTGTCCCTCCCTGAACCATTTTTGCCTCATTACTATCCTTTGTTTGATTTTCCATTTGCAACTCATAGGGTTTAGATTTGAGGATACCTGGTTCATCCATATTGTACGAGAATCTGGACTTATCATTAATCACTGTCACCATCACCGGTTTCTTTCCCTCAACCTTAGTTGGAGTAGGCGTAACAGTCTGCTCCTTTTCTGAGCTTGCCATGTCCTGCTCATCGTTCATCCCCGTTAATATTCGTAGGACTTGTTCTATATAGGCTTGATTGGTGTTCATCTTCGATTCCAGATTGTTTAGACGGTTGTTTTGCTCCTCCCACCATTTTGGAGGTTTCGTTTCATCACTGACTTGTTCTACTCTTTTTGATAAATTTTCAATCTGCTGCTGAATGGCAGTAAGTTCAGTCGACTCTGCCATAACTTGATTCTTTTTCTGTTTTCCCAGTTTGCTAATGCCAGGAAAACTGGCTCTGAATACCAATTTGTTATGAACTGAGGAGAATAGAGAAGGAAAAATCGAATAGATGAAGGTTTTAGAAGAAGAAAAACAGAGAGATTTCAGAAATCAGAAATTCATTAATTCATCAGGTATCTTTCTCATTCCTTAGTACATAGTATTTATTTGATTACAATGTACTATAGCAAATAAAAAGAGGACAGCTGTATAACTGATTTTCTAACAGACTCCTTGCAGCTGGATATTTTCCTCCTTTGGGCTGTTGACTGGATCCACGTCTGAGCCCATCTCTTCTGCCCAACTCTTCCTCTGCTGCAACTCCAGGTAAATCCCTTCAGCCTTCTCATTAGAGATTGAAATCCCTAATTCCTTTCTCTCTTTTCTCTCAATCCCTAATTCCTCGTCCATTTCCCCCAATTCCCTCGCTTCCATTCTAATCTCCTCGTCCTGGTCTTCTCTTGCAACCGTGACAGGATGATGCAATTTCTCCTGACCTTAAAGAGGATGACATCTCCTATTGCTCTCTCTGTGATTTTGAGGTTGCCTTTTGTGATGTGAACAATTCCATTTTTCTCACAAATTAAGTCGGTTTTTTTTACATCTCTCTGTGGTTTATCTTAGGTGAAAAAGCTTAAGCATTGTAGGACTTGCAACCGGTGTGTCGAAGGCTTTGATCATCATTGCAGGGTAAGGACCGATTTTCGCTTTCTAATTATGTTCCTTTTTCCAGTTTGCATGTCTATCTATGTGTTTGTTGATATAGATTTGCTTGTTTTATCATCTGTCAGTGGTTGAACAACTGTGTAGGGAAAAGAAACTATACAACATTCATTCTTCTAATGATCTTTGTCTTGTCAATGGTAAGTTGTTTGACAATGCCCCTAATTTTCCTCCAAAAGGTTTGAAAGTCTTAATTTTAATTCTATTTACCCTGACATCAAATCAAATACTGTTACAGCTAATCCTAGAAGGAGGAACTGCCATTGCTATATTTGTCAGGTGCTTTGCAGATAAGAAAGGAATAGAGCAGGAGCTGAAGAAGAGGATGTATATTGAGTTCCCAAGAGAAGTTCTTGCCACAATAACAGTAAATATTGGCGTCTCTTGCTTACTTTGAAAATCAAATATCACAACTTCTTATATGAATTTGCTTTTAACTCCTGAAAATTGTTGCAGATATTGTTGGCCTTGTTTACTGCTTATGGTTCTGCAGCAATGGGACAACTTTTCTTCTTTCATATTGTGCTTATAAGAAAGGTAAGTAAATTATAGCTCCCTTCTTATCTGTCGGTGCATTCTTCCAATATCTCCACTGTAACTTTATTATGTATATGAAACAAAGGCTTTTTCCATCGGTCAGTTTGCGAGTCATGTTTATTCGATGTTGTGTCGTCTTCATCCGGTAACCGTTTGTAATCATAACAATTCTGAGAATCTTACGTGCAATTTTTTTTTACGTTTCCTTTGGAGAGGATTCAAGTTGTCACTATCTCAGCAATTTAACCTCTGCGGTGACTGTTTTTACAGGGAATGAGAACATATGATTATATAATGGCAATGAAAGAGGAGGAGAACCAATTTACACTAGATCCGTTTGAGGAATCGGATGTTTCGTGGGATGATAGTTCGGATTTAGATTCACCTGAAAAACCATCTTTTATATCAAGGTTTATATGCAGAGGACAGGGAACTCAGGTACATTAAAATAAGTCATTTTTCATCTAGGAAGTTTATCTAAAAGAATTTGAGTAGGTCCATCTAACTGGTCTGTTTGATTTCAGAACTCATCGAGATTGTCCATAAGAATTGATGGAGATCCTGAACCTTCCACATTAACAAGCAAGAAACAAGGGTTCCATGTAAGCATTGGCCCATGGAAACTGATAAGTCTTAGTAGGGACAAAGCTATTCTAGCTGCAGAGAAGGCTAGAGAAAGGCTTCGGATGCAGAAGCCGGAGGTGGAACTCGATCCATTGAAGCCATTACCACTGGAGACAAAACGTGGTCCACTCCTGAACCCTGAAAGAAACATGGCTAATTCAGGAACAACGCCTCTCATCTCCAAAGCCAAACTACCAGGTTCACCAGTAGGGCTTACTAGTCCAAGGCGTCGGTTTTCGGGATCTCCTACAATGTTCTCTAGTGTTATGCCATCACCAAAACAGAGCAACTTCGATATGAAATTAACCAAGGTTTCCAGGGAGCTCGAAACATACATTTCAAGGCAGGTTTTATGTTCTGTTATAAAGAAAGATGGCAGTGAGGCATCTCCCAGATAAAAAAGAAATCCTTTCAATTTCAATGTTCTCAGCCTCTGAGAAAAAAAAAGATTCATTGGACCGTCTGTGTGCATTCTTGATTAAACATTTCAATCTCCTTCGATTTTATCTTCTTCTTTTTCAAATCTTTTATGTACTTTTCAATTCAATTATCTTCAGGTTAATGAAATACAGCTACAGTTTTCATAAACAAAACATGGGTCTAGCGTGTCGTTTTCATAGCATTCTCACATAGGAACTTTCTCCACATATCATTCCAGAGAAAGGAAAGGCACTTTCCTTTCATACAAAGATGCAAATTTCCAGGAAACTGGTTCAGCTAGGCCAGTCACGGTAAAGCAACTCGAATGATGACAAATTATATGTAAATATTTATGTGATTCTCTTTTCATGGAGCTTTTCGAACAACTTCTTGCCAAAATTTATAACAAGCCAAAGAAATAGTGGGGAAAATGCCTTTGAAAGAAGACATAAGCTTCATTTTTCTAACAAATCACTCAATTATTTGTTACTGCAAGCAAACTTACAAGAAACAATCTTTTCTAACAAATGGACAACCACAAGCTACTCCAGTCAACTTCGTATTTTGGTCATCGTTTCCCCGGTGAGGTGACGACGGGCTGTTGTGTTGAGAAATGGCAAGAATCAAAATTCCAAACTAAAAAAATTCAAAATTCCAAACCAAAAACTTCTGTTTTGATTACCTGAACTATGCAAATGATTCGATAGATGGTAACAATCAGAATAATGCTTGGGGTAGACGCTTTCCTTTAGAGGTTCACAAGTTTCAGGGAAAACCAAGGCAGTGTACCCTTGAATGTACGAGCAGTTCCATGGAGACTCCGAGGTTACGTTGAGGGTAATACTCAATAAGCAAAGATGACGAAAACCGTCCCCTTCTATACCATTGAAGAGGCCTACAACTTTTTGTTAAGGTTTAAGAGAAAAGAGTAGACACGAGAAAAGAATTTAGAAAAGAGAGATTATAGAAAAGGAATTCATCATTCATTGCATAAGGAAGAAATGTGATTACACAGCAGGTATTATTTAGTTACAAGCTGGTACAAAGAATCTAAAAAAGACAGCTGGCATTCTATAATAACAGAATGATAACAAACTGATTCTTATCCTTCTATTTTGGCTGCAGGTATTGGGCCGTCTGGATTGAGCCTCTCCCTCTCGCCCACTACTCATTTGATCTGCTCCAACCCATCAGATAAGTCAAACATATTATTCCCTCGTGCTTAAAATCCTTCCCTGATTTCGATTCCCAAATTACTTTCCTCAATCCCTAACCCTCATTCTTCTAATCCCAAATCTTCTTCGTTTCTCCGTTCTTCTTCTTCTCCTCCGACTCTAACAATACCTGCCCTACAAGACGAGCCTTGTCTCCAAGAATCAAAAGCAAGAAACTACCCTCTGAGAACCGAATAGTCCTCCTATGTATCATTCGATTCGTCCAAATTTTCCCATCGAACCAAAAGCTGAGTGACTGGTCTATTCTTTCGATTTATAATACGTCGTCCCATAATCTTTGAAGGTTTAATGCTTAATTGGCATTCTTCATCAACTGCAGGAGGATCTGTGGCAGCAATAGAAGAATCCCCAATGAACTTCTTCAAGAGGCTCACATGGAAGACTGGGTGAAGCTTCGATGAATCTGGTAAGTCCAATCGATAAGCCACCTCTCTAATTTTTTTCCAAAATTGCATATGGTCCATAATACTTGGCTGCTAACTTGAGATTTTTTCGCAGGGCAATCAAAGTTTGCTGATACGACTGCAACTTCAGGTAAACCCTATCTCCAACATTAAAAACTCTTTCAGACCTGTTCTTATCTGCTTGTTGCTTCATACGATTACTAACTAATTCTAACTGTTGCTTGACTAAATGTCTGATTTGTTCTCTACTAGTTATAATTTCCTATACTGATTGTAAAGTAGAGTCAGTAGACTAAACCATAATAGGTGGTTTGTATCCATATAAAGCTTGAAAAGGAGTAAGCTTAATAGCAATGTGATAAGTGGTATTATACCACCACTCTGCCTGTGAAAGCCACTTAGCCCATTGCTTAGGTTGATAAAAACATAAACCCCTTAAATACTGCTCCAAACACTGATTAACTCTCACTATTTGACCATCTATTTCTAGATGGTAAGCAGTACTAAAAAGTGTCTGAGTGCCCAATTATTTCACCAGTTCTTTCCAAAAAGAACTGGTAAAAGTCTTGTCTCTGTCTGAAATGACCATCTTAGGCTGGCCATGTAACTTGTAAACATTATCTAAGTATAATTTAGCAACTTCTGTTGTAGAATAGGGATGAGATAGTGGCAGAAAATGACTATACTTAGTAAATTTATCCACTATAACCAGAATGCAGTTCTTCTTGAATGAAGTAGGTAGACCCTCTATGAAATCCATAGTAATGACCTCCCAAGCTTGATTAGGAATAGACAAGGGTTGTAATAGACCAGGCTTAGAAATATGTTCCACTTTTGTTTGTTGACAAATTGTGCGACATCTCACATAAGTAGCAACCATAGCTTTCATGTTAGGCCAATAAAAATTAGACCTAATTATGTAATAAGTAGCTTGTACTCCTGAATGACCACCCTGTGGAGAGTCATGTAAGGTCTGAATTGTAACATACTCAATACCGGGTTAGTGACTAAATTGTAAAATTTCAGAATTTGGTGATTAAAGTGGAATAGTTCAATGACTTATTTAAAAATAATTTATAAAGGGTTATTGGTAATTATTAAAAGATTCAAAGGGAAAATGAGTCATTGAACAAGAAAATAATTTAATAATAATTAGTGGGTATTATAATACCCATGTGAAGCATGTTTTGAGGAGATAAGTTTTCAGACTTATCTTCTCCATCTTCTTCTCTTCTCCAGGTAAAAGCTCAAGCAAAAGGTAAGATTTCCTCCGTGTTGATTATTAGCTGAAATTTAAGTTGGGTTTTGATCCTTAGATGATAATTAAGCTTAAGGAAAGCTTAATTTGTCTTAAAATTAGAAGATGAAGAAGTTATGAAAGATTAAAGGGAATGTGTTATTAAGTGAAATTTTGAATAAGAAGGTTTAAATGAATTTGGAGAATGAATTTGACTTGTCATCTATAAGAATAAGAAGTTAGAAGTGTTAGAATTAAGTTTGGATAACATGTAAAATTTAGTAAGATTTTTGGTTTTAAGAATTTGGATGAAATATGGAATATTATAAAGCGTTGGAATGATAGGAATTGGTTAAGGTTGTTATAGATGAATTTAGTAGTATAATAAGGATTTTATACATCAAAATTCGGGTGAAGTGTTGATGATTTTCGGATGAAATAGCCTATTCTGGGCAGGTGCGTCGATACACTATGAGTATGCACCGATGCACTAAGACAAATTTTGAAGGTGCATCGATGCATTAAGGGGTGCATCGATGCATGGATATTTCAAAGTTATTTTGGGTGCCGATGTACCCATAGTGCATCAGTACACTCCTAAAGGAAAAACTGAAATTTGGTTTATTAGATTAGCCTAAGTTATTAATACCAAGTTATAAGGTTTAAGCTTCTGAAAATCGTCTCAAAATTTATGTTATGTAGATATCGAGCCTAAACGAGTTACGGAACAATCGAAGAGTTAGGATTGAATCAAAGAAAGCAATGCTAAGGTGAGTACAATTTAATTGTACTTATGTTATTGATCAAACATTGGCTTGCGATGAGCCAGTGACGGAGTTACTATGGTAAGAAGTAACTTCTAAAATATTATGTGATTCTTATATGTGTAGGAATACATGAAAATATGATATAAGCTATGTATATGTGATCTAGGTGAATGTATGTATGTATGATCAATTATATGACTATGAGCTATGTGTGATGATAAGTATATGATCATAAATGACAAGATATATGTGATATATGTTATACGATATGATTTATGTGATTGTATGCAAAGTGATATGAACTATGTGACATATGAATGTGAAATAAGCTATGTGATAAGAATATATGGGTTTATGTGATATAAAAGTGTATATGTGAAATAACATGATAGGTGATAAAACTGTGAGCCTATATGAATATGTGATATTAATGTGATATATATGATGTATGTGAAGCATATGAGAACAAGAGATGACAATGATTTACATGTCATATGAACACAAGAAAAGTGGTATAAGCTAAATGACATATGATTATGAAATCATATGAAAAGTGAAATGTGCATGTGAATAAATGAAATGTTATAAATGATAATGCCCATGTTATGTGATATGAGAGCTAGTGGTATAGTTGGCATGCCAAGAGTCGAGGGTTTACCTATGTTCTACGGAACATATGGACAAAATTACCTATGTCTTTCGGGACATATGAACAGTATACCTATGTTCTAAGGAATATATGGACAGTTTACCTATGTTCTTTAGGACCTATGGACAGTTGCCGAGGTTCTTTATGACCTCTGGATACGTCCTTCAGGACATTTATATGAGTTGTGGTGACAGTATAGTGGTGCACAACCTCAATGTACTCAAAAGTATACATGGGTTAATATAAGGGCTTTAAAGAGAGTAAATAAATTAATTAGTATGACACTATGTGTGTTCTGTTGTGAAATGATATATGTGATCCATGATGTGTATATAAATGTTGAGTATATGCTTATATGATAAAAAGAATTAGTGACATGTGTACATGGACTAATAAAGAGACAATAACAAATACATTATATGTGATGTATATGCTTTTGGTGTTATGAAATATATTACATGAATGATATGATGTTATGTGTGTTATATGATATACAAGAATGATAAGTACAAAATCATATGATAAATAAAGATTATGATGATGATAATATATGTATATGTATGCATTTTGTTATATGAAATGTTCTATAGTTTTATTATATGTTTTATATGCCTCGCTAAGTCATCGACTTAGCGTATGAATGTTTCACACGTAGGTTTGGAAAAGCGAGAAGAAAAGTAAAGAGAAGCAAGACAGTCCAGTTCTCCTTACTGAAGGTCAGATCAGAAGATAAATGAATAGTTTGTATTTTGTAATAATGATAGTGGTTGGCATGTAATAAAGATTTGAATCCGATATGCTCTAATTGGTTTGTAAAATCATATGAATGAGTTTTGTAACGTTTTAAACATGTATATGTAAAAATGGTAAATTATACGAATAAAAACTTAGATTTTTATGAATTTATACGTATTTAACGAAAGTACTGTGCAGTGCATCGATACACAATTTATATTCAAATTTTTTCACTATTCATGGTACTGTTCATCGTATTGTTCACGATACTGTTCATATCGTATAATATTGTTCATAAATACATATTTTTTTCAAATTTTTATAATGAAGCATAATTTAATAGAACATTATTGTATTTTATTAATATAAGTTCAAATGTTTTGCTATTTTACAAGAATATTGTTTTAAAAGTGAATGTGATATCTCGGACTCGTATCTGGGTCGGGTACGGGTTTGGGTGTTACATGAATAATTCTCACCCTAAGACTTCCATTAGCCCCAATATAGACTCTTCCATTGTATCTAAGACATCCTTAGAATATTTCCATTTACTATCATCAGTAGAATTAATAGCCATAATTGAAATTCAATTCTGAGCTAAAGTATCACCTTGATAACTGTCATCTACCTCCTGCACCCAAGTAGGAATCAAAACAGTTACCCCCAAAGTGAAACACTGAGTTTGGTCTTCCCATCTTCTAGATAAAGCATCAGGAACAACATTTAATTTTCCCTTTCTATACTGTATAGTATAGTCCAAACCCAAGAGATTAGTCAACCCCTTCTTCTGAAAAGTGGTA